TAAACCTGAAGTATTAAATATTGGTATTTGGCCATAAACTCAACAATTACTTTGGCTTTTATGTTAAGCAAAAGTAGAAGCCCATTGAATAAAAACATTTCCATTAAAAGAATAACAAAAAGGAATAAGCAGAAATATAAAATCATTTACTTAACATTCTAGGGTTGTCTTGGGAATCTTTGTTTGAGGTAATCCACCCTTTTTAAATGAGAAATTTAATTCTATGATTCAACACCTTTTATCAGCCAAGGATCTGTCAACAAAACCCAATATCACCCTTTCCTTCTGAGCTGCAGAGTCTTTGTATAGATGTGTCTTCCAGTATACAAAGCTTCCAGGTCAGAGGGTCAGAGATCATGTTTAAGTTCATTAGTCTGTCTATTTTATTTTTATTGAGGAATTCCTCTACCAACTTGGTATTATGTTTCAATATTCTAGATAATAATTTTCACAATATGGCATTATATTTCTTTTTACTAATATTGAATCCTTCTGACAGGAAATCAATTTTATAGGTCTGCCAGTAATTATCTTAAATGGAGGCAAGTTGTCCAAAAGGAGCGGAATGTAAATTCATTAGTGTAATCGGTAGAGTGCTTAGCCAGGATATGTTAAGACACTCAGTAAATTTTGCCAGTGAGTTTTTATTATTCCATTTGTCCCTTATACCAACCCAGAAAATGAGGGGTGGCAGGTACAATAAAAAAGCTGTAATAGCCAAATTTCACACAAACATGTTTTAGTATTTATCCTGTGAAATGAGTTCTGCGTCACAGTGCAGTTCTAAGGGAAGACCCCAAGGAGGGTCCTAAAAGTATTTTTGCTATGGCTTGAGTAGTTGTTTTTCTACAAAAGCTTCACTTCAATGAAAAAACATGCACATTGTTGCTAACACATTTCTGCATCTAAGTCATTGAATAAAATTAAGTTGCTATACAGTATTTCCTAAGACCCAGTAGGTATGGTAAAATGTCCTATTAAGCTATGTAAAAGTTTTCTAGGATTATGTTTGTGACAAACAAGACATTTCTTGTGTATGTTTTAGGCAGTTTTTGAAGAGGGGGTTCCAGAAATACTGATGGCGCTTTTGAAGAATTTATTAGTGTCATAATGAGTTAACTAATGAAAAGGAAAAGCCAAAACTGTTTCTCGAATTGCTTCTGATAAAACTGTCTCTTATGTAGTCCACATCAGAGACCCAATCCTTAGTGGTATTTACAGCCAACTCCCAGCCTTTTTTTTTTTTTTTGCATTTCAGTTAAGGAAGCTCAATGCTGTCTTTTTTATACTAATTTCTCTAAGGTCAGTTTGGAAGACACTGAAGCTATTAATTGTGGCTTTGGCTTTTGCGTCACAGCAATTTTGCAACTTGATCTGCCATTGCATTTCCTTTAGCTAATTTTGAATCATCTTTCATGTGTCCAGGAATCTTTATAATAACTAAAGCTTTTGGGAATCAAATCACATCTAATAGGCTTTTTACATAAGTGTTATGTTTTATTGGTTTTCCAGATGAGGTTAAAAATATTTCTGTTTCCACAGCATTCCAAACTCATGAGCAAGTCCAAAGGCGTATCTGCTGTTTGTATTAATATTGGCTGTTTTGAGCTTTGATAATATACCAGCTATGGTCAGAATGAATAATTCAATTTGTTTTAGCAGATTTAGCCTGTAGGAGTGGCTTAGCTTCAAAGACCTTAACCTCAGAGGGATTGGTATCCAACTTGATAATATCCTTCTAAAGATTTAAGATATGAACCATTTGAAAACCAGATTATTTCAGTGTTTCCAAAGGATTTTCCTTTGAGTCAACACAGGATTAATACTTGGTCTGTGAGTTAAATACAATCAAGAGCAGACTTATCAGTTCAGGGAATGCAAAGTTGCCAGATTCAAAATGTTACATTTAGAAATAGTGACATTAGGTGGAGACAATATTAAAATTTTGTAATTAATCTAACCTACACAGAGACAAATGTTGGGTATGATGTTATTTCCACAAAGCTTTTACAACATGAGGTACAAATACAGGCAAAACCTGGAACTCATTTTTCAATATCTGCATTAGCATAACTAGCTGCATGGCACTCAGGGAGGGGTCCCTTTGCCACGGAGTCCAGCTGTTGGCCTTCGGGTCTAAATTGATCACCATGTTTTTGAGAAGGCAAGCCTAAAGCATCTCTTTGCTTTTCATGTACAATAAAAAGAAAGCAGGAAACATAATTGGGATATTCTAAGACAGGAGAAGATAGGAGACTGCCTTTTTTTAAAATTAATTTTTATTTTTCAATTACAGTTAATATAAAGTATTATATTAGTTTCATGTGTACACCCTAGTGATTAGACATTATATAACTTACTAAGTGATCATTTAGCTAAGTCTTGTACCCATCTGACACTATACATAGTTTTTAGAATATTATTGACTATATTCCCTATGCTGTACTTTACATCTCCATGATTATTCCTTCTTGATGTAGACCCCAATAGTGGTTTGGTAATGATGAATTCCTTTATTTTTTTCTTATCTGGAAACTCTTTATATGTCCTTCAATTCTAAATGATAGCATTTCTGGGTAGAGTACTCTTGGTTGTAAGTCCTTGATTTTCATTGCTTTGAATATTTCTTGCCACTCCCTTCTGCTTTGCAAAGTTTCTGTTGAGAAATCAGCGAATAGTCTTATAGGAGCTCCCTTATAAGTAATTAACTGACTTCAAAAGCAAAGGCAACAAAATAAACTACATCAAGCTAAAAATATTTCTGAACATCAAATGAAAATATCAACAAAATGAAAAGGCAACCTATAGAATGGGAGAAAATAGTCATAGATCATATATCTGATAAGGGGTTAATATCCAAAATATATAAAAACTCATACAACTCAATAGCAAACAAAAATTTTTCTTTTGCTGTTTTTAAGATTCTGGTCTTTAACTTTTGGCATTTTAATTGTGATATGCCTTGGTGCATGCTTCTTTGGGTGAACACAAGGCAGGTGGGGAGTGAGGAGGCACACCTAGAGTGTCCAGATTGGGTGATCAGGGAGGCTGTGCAACTGGACCTTACACAACACCTACTATATAAGGCCATTGTACAAAGTTCAGGATACAGGAGACATAGCAGCTCTACCTAGTACATAGAAACAAAGGGAGGCTGCCAAAAATGTGGAGACAAAGAAGTATGTCCCAAATTAAAGAATAGAAAGAAACTCCAGAAAAAGAACTAAACAAAATGGAGACAAGCAATTTACTAGATCAGAGTTCAAAACAATTTACTAGATCAGAGTTCAAAATGGAGACAAGCAATTTACTAGATCAGAGTTCAAAACAGAGTTCAAAACAGTTTTATGAATGCTGTATGAACTTAGTAAAAACTTTAACATTTTAAAAAGGGCATAAAATCATAAAATAAACCAGTAAGAAAGGAATGCTACACTAACTAAAATTATAATAATTTACAGGGAATCAAATGATGAATAATCTATAGAATGTAAAGCCAGGAATCAAATCAGCAATTTGTAATATATGAAAGCAAAAAACAGAACAGTAAACAGAAAAAAAATCTAAAAAAATGAAGATAGTGTAAGGAGCCTTTGAGACAACTTCAAGCATGCCAACATTCACATCATAGGGATGCTGGGGGGAGAAGAGAAAGCAAAAAATTGAAAATCTATTTGACAAAATAATAACAGAAAACTTCCCTAATCTGGTGAAGGAAATAGACACAGTCCAATAAGTGCAGCTATTTCCATATCTTGGCAATTATAAATAACTAGAGGCCTGGTTCATGGATTTGTGCACTGACAAGGTCTCTCAGCCTGGTCTGTAGGGATCAGGCCAAAATCAGCAGTGCAACATCCCCCAAGGGGTCCTGGAATGTGAGAGGGCATTCAAAGTTATCACTCGGCAGCACCTGTGTTAAGCATCTGGCCCTCCCCCTGGTGGTCATAGCTACCTGCCCAGTCGGCCAGTTAGTTGCTCAGGCATATATATATATATATATATATATATATATATATATATATATATATATATAGAGAGAGAGAGAGAGAGAGAGAGAGAGAGAGAGAGAGAGGCTGCAGTGAACATAGTGGTGCATCTATCTTTCTGAGTTAGTGTTTGTTTTCTTTAAATAAATACTCAGAAGTAGAATTGCTAGATCATATGGCAGTTCTATTAATTTTTTAGGAACCTACTTACTGTTTTCCATAGTGGTTGTACCAATTTAGGTCCCCACCAACAGTCAACAAGAGTTCCCTTTTCTCTACATCCTCTCCAACACTTGTTATTTCTTATCTTTTTCATAATAGCTATTCTAACAGATGTGAGGTGATATCTAATTGTGGTTAAATTTACAGTCAGAAAGCAGAAGGGTTGTTGCCAGGGGCTGGGGAGCTGTGTGAGAAGATAGGGAATTGTTATTCAGTGAGTGTAGACCTCTAATTTTGAAAGATGAAGAGAGATCTAGTCATTCACAACAATGTGATTAAAAGTTTGTATCAAGAGATTTATCGTCGAAGCCGATTTGGCTCAGTGGTAGAGCGTTGTTCTGCGGACTGAAAGGTCCCAGGTTCGATTCCGGTCAAGGGCATGTACCTTGGTTGCGGGCATATCCCCAGTAGGAGGTGTGCAAGAGGCAGCTGATCAATAACTCTCTCTCATTGATATTTCTAACTCTCTATCTCTCTCCCTTCCTCTCTGTACAAAAATCAATAAAATATATTTTTTTAAAAAAGAGAGATTTATCAGCAATTGTTAATACTGTCTCTATTATAAGTGGTTTTTACATGTTGTGAAGAAATTAAACATATCCAAAGGGTTTCAAAGAGGATACAGTTGTTTTTGTTACATCCTACAGTCACAATAGGAGGATGATCTTGCTCAATGGGTGAGCAATGGCATTACATTGGCACAGCCCTTGGCACGCACAGTGTAGTCAGCTAATTGTGCTTCTTGTTTCCTAAAATAATGAGACTTTTCTATTTTCTTTTATGCTTTAGGAAAGATTAAGAAACTTCAAAGAGCTCCAAGCTAAATTTCAAAAGCTTGATGTACCATCCCTTCCAGGACCTATTAAATCCCGAGCAGATGTTTCTCCAAAGGGTGACCTTGGAAGCACACAGTCAACCAGGATTTGGGCCAATGGGAAACCCCTCACATCCAACCACAATCAGCCCCCACCATATTGTTCCAATGGTGAACCCCAGTCTCTTGAACCCCAGAAAATGAAGTTGGCACCAAGGAGTGATATTCAGAAATGTTCTAATTCCCTAGGACCTCCAAGAAGGTCTACTCATTCTGCAGAAAATTCACAGAAGGCTTCTCTGCCTTTAGATGTGAATTGGTCAAATGCTAAAGTAGCTGGTAAGAAGAAAGAGGTGGCCAGTACCTTCAGAGACAAGCTCCGGAACTGGGAGAAGTTTTCATCTCAGAAAAGTCTCATGTCATCAGCCCCTTGCCTTGCCGATTGTGGAAGTGGGGCTCTCCATCCAGAAGATCAGAAAACCATGGGGCTCACTACTCCAGAGGAGCCCAGGACAAAGCTGGAAATAAAAGGCTCCCAGACTCTTCCTTCCCAGAGGCACTTGATAGCCCAACGAAAATCATATGTCACCTCAGAAGATTCCACATTTCTACTTTCTGGACGTGGAAGGAAGAGCCTAGAAAAGGGCAGTCCTGAGAGGAGCCCAATGGGGAGCACCTGCCAGCCTATCTATGAGACTGAGCTTGCCAGACAGGCCCCAGGTGAGAAATCTAATATCCACAGGTGTTTGGGGAGAGCTCACTGCATTCTTCCAACTTAAAGCTGGGGAACTTGAGAAGGTCACATATGTGACCTCAGCAATCTTTTCTCTGAATACAGGTATTACAAGAGCATCTGCTATATTGTAATTTCAGGTTTGGAAAAAGTGATTAATCTCCTGGAATTATGTAGAGAGCACAGTTTGAGCAAACTTGGATTTGAAACCTAGTTCTACTTCTTACAAGATGAATGAACTAGGTCAATCTGCTTAACTTCCTAGAGCCTGATCTGCTCTCCTACAAATCATATTCATCACCAGTCTTTTCTGTCTTAGTAAACAGGACAATGTCCTCCTGGTTGCTCATGTCCAAATGTAGGAGTTATGCTCTGTTCCTCTCTCTCTTCATTCTTTGCATCTAATCCATCAGTAAGTTCTTGGTTCTATTACTAAAATATGTTCTATATCCCTCAACTTTTGCCCTCTGCCCACACTACAGTCATCTCTCACCTGGACCACTGCAATGGTCCAACTCATCTTCCTGCTTCACACTTTGCTCTTATATTCTGCTCTTTTCCTAGCAGGCACAGTGATTCTTCATAACGTAAGCCTTAATACATCAGGCTCCTGCTCAAATTCAGTTCCATCCATCTTACAGTGTTCGTGTGATCTGGTCTTTGCCTACCTTTCTTACCTTCTCCTCTCTAATTACATTGGCCTTCTTGCTGTCCCTTAGATATATCAAGCTGGTTATACCCCAGGCCCTTTGCACTAGCTGAGGAACACTCTTCTCCCAGGTCTCTGATGCCTGACTCAAACATTTCATCAAGGTCTCTGTTCAGTGTCACCTGCTGTGAGTGGATCCTGAGGATCATTCTATCTAAAATAGCCGTAGCACCCCATCACTATCTTTTTACATTGCTTTGATTTTCGTTATATCACTTCTCCCTACTTAGTATATTATGTATTGGTTTATCCTAGTAAAATACAAGTTACATAAGGATAAGAACTGTGTTTACCACCGTATCCACAGAATCTAGAAGGACAGGGTGCCAGGGTCAGTGATTCTCAAAGCATATTTATTGAATGACTAAAATGGACTCATGAGATGGGTGGATGAATTGCCTGCTTCTAATCTCTTTGAACTTAAAATAGCATCTAAATTACTACTCATTTCATGGCCCTGCTTCTTTTGATCCCTGTTTATGTCTCTGACTTACCTCCTACCTCTTCCCCTGGCTCACTAGCCCATAGTCAACACACTGCATTTCTTGCTGTTTCTTCAATAGACTTTGTTGTGACTCGGGAACTTTACTATTGCTATTCCCTCTTCCAAAAAAAAAAAAAAACAACTATTTTTTTATATACTAGGTTCATGGAGGTCACAGTCAAGTAACACTTCTGGATAAATCTTTTTTTAGCTGCCCTATCTAAAAAGACAACTTGCTTACCCCAAGATTTGCATTCTTTTATATCATCCTCTTTTTATTTCCTTTATAGAACTAACGGATCTTGTTTGTTTACATGTTTGTCATCACTCTCATCTTATTAGAATAAAATTATCTTATTTGTTTGTTTACATGTTTATCATCAGTCTAGTCCTGTTAGAAGGAAAATTTCTGAGGGCAGAGCTCTGTCTGCTCTTATTCTTGTTCAGCTCTACCCGCAGCACCTAGAACCATGCCTGGAATATAATAGTCAAGTAATTACTGATGAAAGGATGGGAATGAAGAGGGGATGAATGGGAGGAGGGTTCTGTGGGAGGGAAGGAGGAAGGATGGATTGATTACCTACCTGGTAGAACTGTTATGAGGATTAAAAAAGATAACCCATGCAAACCACTGAGCACACTGCCTGGGAATAATTAGGGGCTCAATAAGCAAGTGATCATTTGCTTTCACTATCATGTCCTTAATTTGATAAAGACTAGAATTATTGACATTGGGAGTTATAGCCTCAGAAAAGAGAAACTTTGGCCCTGCTGGGAGGGCAAGCACGAAGCCCTTCCTGCTTGCAGAGGACAGCAGAGCTTTGAGAGTCTCACTGGTATATTTGGGAAACACTAGCCAACTCTTACATCCTTGTACCATGTAATCAACCCCTACTTTATGTAAACCAAAAATCAAAGCACTTGGTTAATATAAGAGTTTGCATTATTTTCTGGAGAAGCAGATATGATTTTCATCTGTAATATTGGAATTTCTGTTGAGTTGGTTTATCAGTGCAGAAGGATAAAATATGCAAAACTGGGATTATCCTGCCAAATTCTAGAACACAAAATCCACAGCTGCCTAGGCACCGCCAAAGTCAGCCTTGAAGCCTTTGTTAGGCTATGAGCCCTGGAAATCAGAGATCAATTCTGATTTCTCTTTATAGCACCCATGTTATTGCCCATCATAAGTGCCTGAAGAATCCTTTCAGTTATTGTGCATTTTCTCTTAATTGGACCCTGTTCTTGGTGCTGGGGAAAGGTCAATGTGGCTTAACCCCTGCCCACAGGAGCCTACATTCAGTGAGAAATTAAATCAGCTCCTTTAATAAGCCACAACACTGCTAGAGAGGTGTTAACAGTGTGCTATGGGAATATAAAACAGATTCCTTGATTTCTGGGAGCATTCAAGAAAAGCTTCTTAGAGGAGGTGTCCTTGGAGCAGGGCCTTAAAAGAAGAGTTGAAGTTTGGCATGAGAGAAATAAGGGAACAGCATTCTAGGAACCAGGAATAGCATGCACAATATCTTGGATACACGAAAGCTTTTGAAGGCTTTTAAAATCCAATCTGGGACTGAGAAGCCAATGATGTGAGTGAAGGATGTTTGGGCTTCAGGTCAGGGAAGTAGGATAATAAAATCTGGTAAGAAAATACTGCAGGCAGATCGCAGAGGCCTGTCGATTGGGGCTTGTACTGTTTAAATGCCAGACAAGGGAGCTAACAAAGGGCATGCTGAGGAAATGGCATTTCATCTTCTGGGCAGCAGGATGGTGACAAGATCAGGGCCGTTTTTTGATCTGAACACTCTGGCTACTGGGTGCAGTATAGATTTGGGGGGAATGGGAATGAGGCAAGGCAACTCATCAATTTCTCCAGACAGGCTATAAAATGGAAACAATTAACAACCTACATTGTGGCTTTTTGTGCTTAGAAAAAGAGCCAGATGTCAAGCATCACCAGCTTCCCAAAACGAAACCACTGCCTTCTGTAGAGTTCCTGGGTCCTCCTCCCGTGAAGCCCCCGAAGCCTCCAGGAGTGAGCCTCCAGGCCTTCCTGAGGCAGACAGCTGCAGTGCCCAAAACCCCCGGGGAAGGTAAGGAAATGCACAATCCTCACAACCCCCCCACATAGTCAGCCAGTATTCCCCAGCCACCTCCCTTTCCGCATGAGTTCCTGGTGACAATGCTGAACTGCTTCTCCAGGGTGGGACATCCATCACTGTTTATTCTCACGTAGAGTCTGTGGCAGCTTGCCCGGGAAATGACAAGCCTGCGGGAATTGGTCCCTTATCGCTCCTGAGCCACCCTGCTTCCCTGAGAGCCTCGCATTTGATCACTGGGAATCTGTCCAAGAGGAAGAAAATGAAAAGGAACAGGGCAGGGAGGCAGAGCACCTCTGTGTTTCCCACAAAGTCTGTGTTGTCAACACAGCCTGAGCAGTAGAGGAGGGGGAGACAGTGAAAGGGAGGCAGTCAGTGTGAACTTGACCTGCAGTCATGATGGCGGTCCCTCAGGCCTCTGCGATCTGACTGCAGTAATTCACTCAAGGGCTCCCACCCACCCCCACTGGTCTCTTCACCTTGGAAGCCATTTCTCTGTGCTGTGATGTGTCTAACTCTGACACATGAAGGTGCCCTGCTCATCCACACCCCCACTCCTCATCCTGTTGACATTTCAAATACCTTTGTTCTGTCTGCTCTAATGAAACAAGGGAGGGGAATGTAGGGAGGACTGGCTAACATGCTTTACTGTGACCATGAGTGCCGGCAGACAGAGCACTAAATGAGCTACTTCTAACTCATTGGTTGTTTGTTTGACTGCTCTGAGCAACTTCATGGTTAAATTTCTTTAACTCAGTGGTTCTCAAATTTTCGTGTGCATCAGAGTCACCTAGGAGACCTGTTAAAACACACTACAAAGAGTTTCTTACTCAGTTGGTCTGGGTTGGAGGCCTGAAGATTTACCTTTTTAACAAGTTCTCTGGGGTTGCTGATGCTGCTGCTCCAGGGACCATGCTTAGAGAACCACTGCTATAAGTCATCTTAGGTTTCATCTTAAAAGAAAATTCAATATAGAGAAACAGGGTTCTTAGCATTATACATTAAGAATATGACCACCTCTATATCAGGGAAGTTTATAAATGTTAAATAATTTAGGGCTCAAACCATCTCTCTGAAAGGGAAGAAGGTTGTGAAAGGAGATAAAGTACTAAGTCTTTTATAATAAAATGGGCTTTATAAATTGTAGCATACCTCCCCCTCCACACACACACAATAGTTGTTTAAGTTTGGGTGTGTTACCCCCTGAGCCTCATTGTCCTTGCCTGTACATGGGGATGATAACAACACTCACCATATAGATTATTGTGAGGATAAATGAATGAGATGAGGCATGGAAAGACTTCATCGTTATTGTCAAACCAGTAAGAGCTCAACAAGTGCAATGTATCATTATTTCAAGCATGCATTCTCTTTGCCAGGCCCTGTGACAGAAGTGAGATTAAGAGAGAAACCCAACAGACATCCTGGTACTCCAGGAAGTCAAAGTCTAATACAAGAGAGTGTACTCATGATTGAGTAGCATAAAGTGTGGGTGTGGGCTGCAATGTAGGCAATGATCCCCTGGATGCCTGGGAAAGGAGGCTTGGGGGCACAGATGAGTTGCCAAATACATTGTGTCTCTGAAGTCAGGTCATTGCACAAACACAATTTGCTTTAATCAAGCTGTCGCTACAGCCTCTTTTTCACTCTCCCTTTTGCTCTTGCAGCAGCTGTGAAGGAGGGCTACCTGCCTCCAGAGAAGTAAGTACCTGTTTTTTAATTGTGCAGGAGTGTAGCTTGCCAATGAGGCCTCCACTGAGCCTGCCCACAAGCAGGACGTAAGCACAGGCCAGGAATCAGTATTTCCCCAAAGGATTGCAGGAAGAGCAGATGCAGACGCGACAAACTACAATTCTTGTTTTAGACGAGAGACTAAATAAACCACATTTAACAACCATGCTGACATTAAGTTGCAAAGATGGTCCTCTGAGGTACTTTTATTTATTGTACAGTTGGGTTCAGTAAATTGAAACATCAGCTTCCATAGTAATAAATTGAGTTAGAGGCCACAGAAAGTTGAGGGCAGCTGGCAGGATGTTTGGAACTGGTAATGGGACAAAGACCTTTTATTTTTGCTGCATTCATTCTAAGAATTTTTTCATGGAAGTGATAGGTCATTAATTCACTCAACCAAATACTGTTGAGCCCTTTTAATGCATTCACCTGGCTACTTAATACTGATTTTATCATTTCATCTTCTCAAGAAGGCATCCACGTTGCTGACACTGTCTCCATTTTATAGCTAAAAACACTTGGGCTCAGAAAGTTTGCCACTTGCTGAGCTGTGATTCTAACTCAGGTTTGCACAAACTATTTTTTTATTATGATATAATTTATGTATAATGTCTAAGTTTGAGGTGCACAGCCTGTTGGATTAATACATCCATGCATCTCAATATACTAGTAACCACTACAGAAGCTTAGCTAACATCTTTATCACCTCATATAATTATTTATTTTTGTATGTGTTGAAAACAGTTAAGATCTAGTCTCTTAGCAATGTTGAAGTTTATAATAAGTATTTTTTTTACTCTACTGATTAGGTTGTGTATTAGATCTCCAGAACTTATATACTAGGTGCAAGTTGACTGGATTGCTCCTATTGTCTGGGGTTCAGCTTACATCTGGTTGATGTAGAATGACCTTGGTGAGGATGACCTTGGTGCAACTCAACTTAGTACCCTCATCACATCCTCTGGTGAGCTAACTGAGGAATGCTCTCCCAGCAGTGGCAGCAGACAATGCCAATAGCACAAAAACTTTCCATGCTTCTGAGGTATCACATTTGTTGACCTCCTATTGGTCAAAGCAAGTGACTTGACCAAACCCAGCATCACAGTGGGAGGCACTGAAATTTGCAAAGTGCAAGGTCCAAGGGAGGCGTTAAGAATAGTAGCCTCAGTCCAATCAAACTAGCACAGAAGGGAAGTATCTGAAATGAATGCTGAAGGTCAACATTCACTGGGTAACATGGAGAGGGACACTATAGGCAGAGGTAGAAGGTATGAAATAACATTATTTTGGAAATTAGAAGTAGTTAAGTGGAGTTATAGTATAGAAAGTGTAATAAAGAAGGGAAAGAAATGGGATGGTTAAGGTAGACAGAAACCAAATCTTAGAGGGGTGAGTACACCAAGGAATAGACAGTCGTATTCAATAAGGGAAAACTCCTAGTTTAGTATAGAGTTGAATTATGGCACAAGGTAGGTTGGTGGACTTGCATTCCATGTACATTTATTTGAGTGAGGGGGAACAATTTAGACATCTCAGAAAATGATTTTCATTAGTTACTGGATGAGCGTTGGTCCTGGTAAGGCATTTTGAGGAGACAATGGCATTCTGACATACCCTGAGTCAATCTCAGTTCCCTGTGCCTCACATACTGGGAGCATTTCAGTGTGATTGTGTATGCCATGATCAGAGTGTATAGCTAGATACACCATTTTCCTGCAGCTAGGCTCTAAACTAAGCTGACTTCTTCACTCACACTTTCATCAAAGAATCAGCAATCCATTTCAACACTGGGCACAAACTGGCTGTGATGGGCAAGTACTGAGAAACAGTAGTCTGTGACACTATCTTCCTAAGGGATTTATAAGGGCAATTGTTGCTGTTCTTTCATATTGACTTTAAAACTGAACCTACCCTCATCTGAAATGAGATTCATTGCATCTCAATTATGATATGGCCCATAGCGCTATAAGAGTGAAAGACAGACTAGATGAAGAGGGACCAGAATTCTTAGGGGCAGCTTCATGGAAGAAGGAACATCTTATGATGTCCCCTGCATGGTGGGCTGGAATTAGATAGATTCACTCATTTGTTCCCTTTTGTGAGACTGTAAGTTAGTGATAATAGGGTATTGTTACTGGAAATAACCACATTGCTAACTTATAGTTGGTTAGTGGATGGATAAATTGATGGATCAATGAATATTTAGTATAGAGCAAGAACATGATTGAAAGCAAGGTGATAGTAATAAATAGCATATAGACCTACAAAACATATTCTAATATGAGAAAATACAAGATATGGTTGGATCCTAAAGTGCCATGCTAAGGACTTTGAACTTCATTTTGTCACTGATAAGAAATTAGTTCGAATCCCATAAATGTCTGTGACCATGCATCTTCTCCTCTATCTGCAGGGAGCATAAGGCTATTGGACCCTTGCAGGCACCTGCAGACAGTGGCCCCAGCCTTAGGCATCTTTGCGAAAGGGATGAGGACAGGGTAGAGACAAGGGTGTTGCTCCTTCTCAGATTTCTGAATCCCTTATCTATTTATTTTACTGAGCCCAGGTAACAACATATTTTGGCCATTCATGACTCATCCTACTTTGAGCAATGAACAAGGATCAGTCAGACATTTGACTCCCACTCTCCCTCTACTGTCTCTTGATTTGAAGAAGTAACATTGACATAACTGATAAGCAGTTGTAAAATTAAGCTATTTAACCATATGATTCCATTGCTCTTAAATGTGTGAGACATATCTATGTATATCTGTCTTCCTATGTGTTACCTTTAGACTTCCTGTCCCTCCTGGAGATTGGAGGAAAAGTCACTATTTAAAAAGTGTATTTTGCTGGAAATCTTCCATATCACCTAGCTTTCCATATTCACTGGCAATGAGTTGTGCATAAAAAAGTCCAGTGGTTGCTATGTAATTCCTATAGTCCAAAATAAATTATTGTCATATTATCTTTTGAAAGAAAGAAAGAAAGAAAGAAAGAAAGAAAGAAAGAAAGAAAGAAAGAAAGAGAAAGAAAGAAAGAAAAAGAAAGAAAGAAAATGAAGAAAGAAAGAAATTACTTTGAACAAGTAAATGCCAGAATGCTGAGTGGCCTTAGATACAATTTCCATGGGAACTGGTGCCTGTTTGGGAAGAACATTTCCATGTTCTTGCTATTAAAGATGTTGTGTTAGAATAGAGTATGCAGGATCTCATTACTGGAAGGGACCCGGCAATGACCTGATGCAGCCAAGCCACAGAGCATAATGTGAACAAAATTTGGGTTCTTGACACATGCTTTACCACTTATCACCTATGTAGCCTTGGAAAAATGCCTTAACCTCTGTAAACCTCAATTTCTACTTATGTAAAGTAGGATATTGGTAGTACTTAACTCATACAGTTATAGTGAGGATAAGTGAAATCAGGAGTGTAAAGTGTTTAGCACAGTGCCTAGCATCTAGTGTTCAATAAAGCATACTTAGCTATTATATAACCTTCTACCAAAGGCAAGAATTCTCTTCAAAAGTCCTTTGAATGGGGAGCTCATTGCCTGGAGAGTCCAGTGTTTTTCTTTGCTGAGGTAGATTTTATCCATTTAACACATACTTATTGAGCATCTACTATATGCCAATTCCTCTATATGCATTGAGACTACAGCAGTGCATAAAGCAGACAAAAATACCCTACATGTAATCACACACATGTGCCTACACACATTTGTTTGTTTACTCAAAAGTCTTTCAAGTTGAACTGGGAGGAGAATATATAACCTTCCTACCTCAAACTCAAAACCACTTGATCAAGATCTCATTAGTACAGTGGATACTGTCTTTACATAACAGTTCTTAAAACATCTAAGGATAACATTTTTCTTTGAATTAAAGATAAATTTTTTCAACTATTCACAAAACAGATATCTTTGTGTTTTAGCTGTATTTCAATAGATACTACACACACACACACACACACACACACACACACATATTAATCATCTTGTTAGGAACTCAGTGAATTCACAGTAACCATTTTCATTTCTGAGCTTCTTCATATTATCAAATATGAGAAGTCACAAAGCATAATAGAAAAACACATTTTTCCATGAGTCAGAGTAACACAGATTCAAATTCATCCCCTGCACCTAAGACCAGTCACTTACCAGCTCAGAGCTTTAGCACACACATCTGTAAAGTGGACACAATAATACTTACTTCACCGATAGCCAGAAAGACTAGATGAGATAAATTCTAAAGCAGTGAATAGAGAAGATGCCTGATGAGTCTGTTTCTTCTACCCTGGGTCTCTCCATCTCTGGAATATTAATATCTCATTAGCTCCTAACAGTGAAATGACTTTTTGAAGATTATTCTTTGCCATCACTTTTTCAGGGGAACCAAGCTGACTGGCACCCTGTATGACAGCAGCCCCTATTAGTGTGAGCAAAGCAGGGGAGTCCCAGGGCACAGTCAGCAGGATCTCTGTCAGTACTTAGCAGAGTTGGCTAGTATTTCATTCATTAGCTATAAATACAGTTTTTCTCCCACTCCTGACTCAGGGAATCTCAGCTAAACACTAAGGAAGGGAGAGACTGTTTATTTCCTGAGCAGAAAAGATTCACACAGGGTGGTGTTTGTCAAATGCGGGTCTATGGGTGGATCTCGGGGGTCCACCATTTTCTCTCCTCAACTTTTTAATTTTGTGTTTTTGTTTTGATGGCAGCCTTTAAAAAATACTATAAACCTATGATGAATCTCCTGGGTGACCTCTCTCAAGCCAGTACTTTGAAACATGCATTTGTATTTGTGTTTTGGTGTGTCTAGCCCATGGTGAGTGGGAGACACTAATGCACCTGGGGCTGCGGATCCATGATGGTCTAGGTCCTGTGTGATGTCCAGGAGAGCAGAAGCTGTACAGGGGGATAGCTGCCTTCCTTGGGGCATCCAAGCAGAATAATGATACAAGCAGAAT